CTGCATCCTTTTGTACAATTGTCCATTGAGAGGCTGGGGATGTTTTTGACACAGCATCCATCACTGTGAGCCGTAGTTATAGCTATAGTACACGGTGATATATCGTTGGACAAAATCTGAACGTTGTTCTCTTGAAAACGTTGACTTTTGCACATTATTTTAGAGTCACGAGATATTTTCTGGTGTTGCATTTGATATCATTAATAACATGAGTCAAAGCAGAACTCTTTGTATAGCATATGTCCTTGGGACCACTAATGATAGTATGTGCACCCTGATTCTGCAGGTGGTGTAATGAGATACCGCTGAAATATGAGTGTTGTCCAAAACAAGTAGACTTTGACACCTAGTTGCCTGGGATCCGATTCTCAAAATGAACATAAAGCCTCTTAATCCATCATGGTCCTCTTTCATTCTTATTGACATGCAGCTCATAGAAGCCTATAACACAATTTTTCTCCAACCTGGGAAGTCTAAATCATGTAGTGTAATGTTGCGGTTGAAGTCCACAAGACTTAAAGTGCTATAATGAATCTCTATCAAAAGCTCAGTGATATTTTTGAAGTGGACATTTTTAGGATATTTCAAACATGGGCTGAAAAAGTGGTGTCCAGTCATGCCTCTTTTGTGAATTCATGTCCAAATATGCTGTTTTTACCAAGAAAGAACTAAGGCACCTAATTTAGAACTTTATCTATCGAAGTTCATATATGTTCCGGTCGCAGGCTAAGGTCTCTTCTGCATTTGATTGTGATGTCTGTGTCCTCTATTGGTGGAAGACATATCTTTAGCAAAAACAGTGTTATTTAGTCCCGTTGTTCAGGGTTAGACTGAGAAAGTTTTTGATAGAACATCCATTACTGTGATGGATCTGAGTTCCAACTAGTACAAACGTACACTGTGATATATCATTGGACAAAATCTGGTTGTAGTTTTGCTCAAACCTTTGACTTTTGCCTGTTGCGTTGCAGTCGCAACAAATCTATTGTTGGTTTTGCCTTTGATGTGGTAATAGAGTGAGTAAACTCTTCGCACAGCAAGATGTTTGCTAGTTTCGCCTTCAATGTGGTAACGATGCAGGCAGCCTCTTCTTACAGCAAAGGTGTCTTCTGCCTTTGAATGTGGTGACTGTGTCCTATGTTGTAGGAGAAGTATATTTAGGAAAAGTAGCATTATTTAATCCGATTGTCTAGTGACTGACTGAGAAAGTTTTTGATAGACCATCCATCACTGTGCGATCCCCCCACTGTAGTGCACTGTGATACATCATTTGACAAAATCTGTATGCAGTTCTACTCAACACTTTGCCTGTTGCATCGGAGTCACAAACTCTTTGCTGGTTTTGCATTTGATAGAGCAAGAATGTGAGTAAAGTCTTCATACCGCAAAGATGTCTTCTGCCTTTGAATTTGGTGATGATGTACTTATATTGGTGGAAGAAGTACATTTATAGCAAAAGCAGCATTATTTAGTCCCATTGTCCAGTGACAGGCTGAGAAAGTTTTTGATAGGGCATCCATCATTGTGAGTCCCCACTGCCATAGTACACTGTGATATATCATTGGACAAGAATAGGGTGAAGTTCTGTTCAAAACTTTGATTTTTGCCTTTTGCATTGGAGTCACAAGGCATTCTTCAATTGCTGCAAAGACTGTGTATCGGGGTGAAATTCAGCAGGTTCTGACAGGTTCTGGAGAACCGGTAGCGGAAATGTTGAGCAGTTTGGAGAACCGGTAGTGGAAATTTTGAGTAGTTCGAAGAACAGTCAAATGCCACCTCTGGCTGGCCCCAGGGTGGGGTGGGAATGGAGATTTTGCAGTATCCTTCCCCTGGAGTGGGATGGGAATGGAGATTTTGTAGCATCTTTTCCCTGCCATGCCCACCAAGCCACTCCCACCATGCCACACCACGCCCACCAAGCCACACCCACAGAACCGGTAGTAAAAAAAAAAATGAATTTCACCACTGCTGTGTATATTACTTCGGTGGAAGAAGTGTATTTAGCTAAAGAAGTATGTACAGTTGTCCATTGAGAGTCTGTGGAAGGTTTTGTTGGAAACTACATCGGAAGAAGTACATTTAGCAAAAGCAGCTTTATTTAGTGCCATTGACCAACTGAGAAGGTTTTTGATAGGGCATTCATCATTGTGAGTACCAGTTGCCAGAGTACACTGTGACATATCATTGGACAAGAATGGGATATAGTCCTGATTTCAATTTTGCCTGTTGTGTTGGAGGCACAAGATGTTTGCTAGTTTCACCTTCAATGTGGTAACGATGCAGGCAATCTCTTCTTACAGCAAAGGTGTCTTCTGCCTTTGAATGTGGTGACTGTGTCCTATGTTGTAGGAGAAGTATATTTAGGAAAAGTAGCATTATTTAATCTGATTGTCTAGTAACTGACCGAGAAAGTTTTTGATAGACCATCCATCACTGTGAGACCCCCCCGCTGTAGTGCACTGTGATACATCATTTGACAAAATCTGTATGCAGTTCTACTCAACACTTTGCCTGTTGCATCGGAGTCACAAACTCTTTGCTGGTTTTGCATTTGATAGAGTAATAATGTGAGTAAATTCTTCATCCAGCAAAGGTATCTTCTGGCTTTGAATCTGGTGATTGTGTACAATATTGTTGGAAGAGGTATATTTAGCAAAACCAGCATTATTTGGTCCCGTTGCCCAGGGACAGACTAAGAAAGTTTTTGATAAAGCATTCATCATTGTGTACACCCCAGCTGCTATAGTACACGGTGATATATCATTTGACAAGAACAGGATGCAGTTCGGTTCAAAATTTTGACTTATATCGTTAGACAGGAACGGGATGCAGTTCGGTTCAAAATTTTGACTTTTTGCCCATTGCGCTGGAGTCACAAGCCATCCTTCAACTTTTGCAAAGACTTAATGTATTACGTTGGTGGAAGAAGTATATTTAGCTAAAACTGAATTCTTCTGTTCAGTTGTCGATTGAGAATCTGGGGAAGTTTTTGATACTGCACCCATCACTGTGAGCCGTAGTTATAGTACACGGTGATATATCATTGGTCAAAATCTTAACATTGTTCTCTTGAAAACATTGACTTTTAGGCATTGTTTTAGAGTCACGAGATATTTGCTGGTGTTGCATTTGATATCATTAATAACGTGAGTCAAAGCAGAACTCTTCGTATAGCAAACTTCCCTTAGGGCTACTAATGATATTATGTGCACCCTGATTCTCAGTTGGTTTAACCAGATATTGCTGAAAGATATGTGTTGTCCATAGTACACTATATCATTGGACAAGAACAGGATGCAGTCCTGCTCAATATGTTGACTTTTGCCCATTGTGTTGGAGTCACAAGTAATTCTTCAATTTCTACAAAGACTGTATATATATTACTGTGATGGTGAACGTATGGCACGCATGCCAGAGGTGGCATGCAGAGCCGTTTCTGTGGGCACATGCACAGTGGTGCACACATTCCAGTTTGGGCGCTCGGTGCCAAAACGGTTCACCATCACTGATATTATTGTAGTCCACCAGCAGCCTGCGGAGCTGGCAGTGGAGTTGGACAGTGATGAGGCTGAGGAAGAACATGGCCAGTCCTGAAGGCTGGGGAAGGCCCGGTTGAGGGCTCTGCGTCAGAGGTAGAGATGGGGCCAGGGCCATCGGGGTGTGAGGTGCGGATTCCAGAGCCTCCAGAGACTGATAGGAGTGAGGCAGAGGAACAGGAGGAGCCTGTTCCTAATGCACGCATGAGAAGAGCTGCCAGAAGGCAAGAACAGCTCAAGCAAAGAGGACAACTCGGGAGTAGGGCCAAGAGATGATTGGCTGCTCCCATAACGCTTAAAACAGACCAGCAACGGCGTTTGGGCTTTGCCAGAAAACAACGTTGGTAGCTTCGTCTTCTCCTTCGTCTACGTCTTGTATTTATTTTTATATCTGTGACTTCTGAACGTTTGCCAAGAAAGGCCTTTGGCAGTTTGCCTAATTGGACCAAGGTTTGCGATAGGACTGAGGAATTTGTGTTGGGAGGAATATGCTTTAATTTAGTTGAATGACGCTGGGAATGAAGTAATTCTCAGCTGTTCGAATAAAGTTTGTTTGTTTTTTCACTGATTGATTTTCCTACTACTTACTTGGGCCTGGGTCCAGTGGTGGGGTTCAACCAGTTCGCACCACTTCGGGAGAACCGGTTGTTAAATTTCTGAGCAGTTGGGCAAACTGGTTTTTGGAAGAAATCATTAGAGCAGAGAACCAGTTGTTAAATTACTTGAATCCCACCACTGCCTGGGTCACAACAGATATATTACATTGGTGGGTGAAGTATATTTAGCTAAAACAGCATAGTTTTGTTCAGTTGTTGATTGAGAGACTGTGGAAGTTTTTGATACAACCTCCATCACCGTGAGCTGTAACTAGCGTAGTACACTGTGATACATCAGTGGACAAAATCTGTATGTAGTTCTGCCCAAAACTTTGACTTTGGCCCATTGGTTTAGAGTCAAAAAATATTTACTCTTTTTACATTTATGTCATGATAATGTGATTAAACTCTTCATACAGCAAACTTTGTCGAGGCTGCTAATGGTGGAATGTGTGCCCCTGAATTTGCGGATGGCCTAACAAAACCGGAGAGATCAGATTCTGCTCAAATATAAATGTTGCCCAAGACAAGTGGACTTTGACAAGAGGGTTACACTGGACAAGATTCTCAAAATGAACATAAATAATCTTATTCCAAAATATTGTTCTTTCATTCGAGGTGATTTTTTATTGACAGGGATCTGATAGAGGGATTACAGCTGCTCTACTTTTTAATCAGAAAATTCGTTGGCAACTCATCTATCAATAATGCCAGCCTGAATTGTAGGAAGGATCTTCACCACGACAATTATACTTTGAGATGGTACAAAATTAATCACTTGGTCTGCTGGGCTTTGCTTAGTATGGAAATAATAATAATAATAATAATAAATAATAATCTTTGTTTCACTTCTCTGCACTCTTTCTAGGGTCTCAACATCTTTTTTCTGTATCTTGGTGACCAGAACTGGATGCCGTATTCCAAGTGAGTTCTCACCAAGGCAATATTTTGCCGTACTAATACTTCATAAAGGGACGGGGTGGCTCAGTGGCTAAGACGCTGAGCTTGTTGATCGAAAGGTCGGCAGTTCAGTGGTTCGAATCTCTAGTGCCGCATAACAGAGTGAGCTCTTGTTACTTGTCCCAGTTTCTGCCAACCTAGCAGTTCGAAAGCATGTAAAAAAATGCAAGTAGAAAAATAGGGACCACCTTTGGTGGGAAGGTAACAGCGTTCCGTGCGCCTTTGGCATTTAGTCATGCCGGCCACATGACCACGGAGACGTCTTCAGACAGCGCTGGCTCTTTGGCTTTGAAACAGAGATGAGCACTGCCCCCTAGAGTCAAGAATGACTAGCACATATGTGCGAGGGGAACCTTTACCTTTAATACTTCATGTGATCTTGATACTATTTCTCTGTTGATGCAGCCTAGGACTGTGTTGACCTTTTCAGTAACTACAGCACATTGCTAATTCACACTTAATGGTTGCTAGGAATTTACAATTATCTGGGATATGATCTTGCCGGGAAATAGCTTGAATCAAGGCCTCCAACATCTTCTTACCTACATAGAAAGAACTTCAAACTAGTAGTATGGCAGAATATTGATCCAACCACAAGAGAGTCCCATGTATAACGTTGCTACAATACTACACTAGGTCCCCCTTTTGGCTGTTAGCAATTTGAAACATAAATCCCTAGTGTTTCCAAAGATGGCTTTGAATGCATACAAAAATAGAACGTTTTCCTCCAATTTGAGTTTCGAGTTCCACTGATTTCATGGACCCATCGGTACAAATTTTGTTGGAGACAATATGGAAGGGCTTTGGAATAACCTTGTTCCAGAATGTTCCCCACCCCCACCACAACTCCTGATCTAGCCAACGGTTCTGGGTTTTCTGATATTCATCAGCTCTGATCTTGTTAAATTTCTGGACCCAAATTTAGCCAGGTGCTGCCACCTGGTGAATATGTATAGTGTTGTACCCATCCTTGAAATGAAACTACCCACGTTTGAAGGACGTATGTTATCCTCCCAATCTACTGAGAGCAGCATAATTCAACCTTTTGAATTTCTGCCTGTTATATCGCTGAAAGGGAGAGAGCATCTTTTTTTTAAAAAAAAATACAATCATATTCATTACTTAATTTATTCTTAGCTTAATACCAATACATTAAATACCCAATACTTTACACCCCCTTCTTAATTTGCTTAACTCTATTAACTATTTTCTATATTTTACTCATCTACTTTTATTTCCAATGTTTGTATTTGTCCTCTAACCATCGATAAAATGTTTCTCATACCGCATAATAACCAGTTTTCTCTTTCTCTTTAATTGCCAGTGTTAATCTATTCATTTCTGCACATTCTAATATTTTCCTTATCGTATTCTCCTCTGTAGGAATCTCTTCACTTTTCCAGTTTTGTGCAAATACAATTCTAGCTACGGTTATTACCTGAATAATCAAATATACATTTTCTTTACCATACGTTTCTGGTAAGATCCCCAAGAGAAATATTTCAGGTTTCCAGTCAATATGTGGTTGCATCATCTTTTCCAACCATGTGAATATTTTTATCCAATATTTTTTAGCTTCTACACATGTCCACTACATGTGACAAAGCATCTTTAATTAGGGTGGAAAAAAGGAAAGCCACTTTGGCTGGAGTGAGGAAACTCAAATTACTCAGTTTTGCTATTTTTAAAGTAGCCCAGATGTTGAGGGTAAATTCTGGTTTCAAAGGCACTAAACAAAGCTGCAGTGTCTCTTTGTCAGTCACAATTTTTTTTTAAAAAAAAACATCTGGATTGAAAGCAGAGACACCAGCAGAAGTGTAGCCTTCGGAAATAGGTTTTCGATAAAACATCTGTCACTGTGGGACGCCCACACATCTCACACCATAATGCATTTCATGACCGAATTGAAGAGACAGAAGGGATGCTCTTCCTATAGACATTTCTCCATTTGTGATCTATCGCCCACGGATGAGAGATAGTTCATGTTCTTGGATGGAATTCTTAGAGATGTTTGGTTGACACCAGATGTGTCAACCAAAGCCCAGCATAATAGTCTGCTCATTCTGACCTCCTAATCAAAGGAGAGAAGCAACTTAGAACTAAGAAGAAATTTCCTGACAGTTAGAACAATTCATCAGTGGAACAATTTGCCTCCGGAAGTTGTGAATGCTCCAACACTGGAAGTTTTTAAGAAGAGATTGGACAACTATTTGTCTGAAATGGTATAGGGTTTCCTGCCTTAGCAGGGGGTTGGACTAGAAGATCTCCAAGGTCCCTTCCACCTGTTCTATTCTATTCTATTCTATTCTATTCTATTCTATTCTATTCTATTCTATTCTATTCTATTCTATTCTATTCTATTCTATTCTATTCTATTCTATTCTATTCTGTTCTATTCTAAATGTTTTCCATTCCATTCCATTCTACTCTATTCTACTCTACTCTACTTTTATTGTTTTTCTTTTCCTTATTCCTTATTCCTTATTCCTTATTCCTATTCCTATTCCTATTCCTACTCCTACTTGTGAATCACCCAGATGCTGAAAATTATGTGCTTTTGTCATTGGTACAGTGATGTCATCACATGTGCGACCTCACTTCTTCCCTTCCCTCCCTCTTCCTCATGGACACGGAAGCACAACCACAGAAAGACCTTCTTTGGTTTTGATGGTAGTGAAGATAATGTTTTACCAGTAAAGGAGATTATTTGTAGCACCATGTTGAAATGAGGGGTCCTTGGTGCTCTCTCAGATTGATTGTTTTCTTGCTGATGTTTTATTATTCAAACTAGATAACATCAGGGGTGGGTTTTAAATTTTTTACCTATTTGTTTTTGGAGTGCACTGGTCTACGACCACACTGCCTTTCACCACTGATCAGCTGTAGGACGGCCCTTTGAAGTGCCGCGGCAAGAGTTTAAACAGTTTTTTGCCGCTCTGCCACCACTGAGAGCACCGGAAACCACTTTCAGGCAGCTTGGCCTCAATTGCCAATCTACCACCACCGAGGGGTTTACAAGGAGCGGATCGGTTCTAGCCGATCAGTTGGGAGGCTTCTTGGCTTCTCAATTTAAAGCAACAGTGTCTTTTTTTCCCCCTTCTTTGTCAAGTCAGCCCTGATTTTTTCCTTCTAGCGAATCAGCTGGGGCTTGGGAGGCAGCGAATAGATTGGGGGCAGGGCCAGGCAGAGGTGGTATTTATCGGTTCTCCGAACTACTCAAAATTTCCACTACCGGTTCGCAAGAACCAAGGAGAACCAGTAGCAACCCACCATTGGATAACATCATCAACAACATCGCTGATAATATTACTTAGTTTGGGCAATGAAACATCGGCAAGAAAACAACCAAGCTCAGAGAACACCAAGAACTCCTCAGCTAATGTTTTGTTATGTTACCTCAGAGGCCATTTGGGGACTGAAGCTAAGCAGGACCAGACTGGATTAATACTTGGATAAGAGACTACCAGAGTATCCAAAAAGCTGTAGAACAGATAGAAGATGATAAAACATGTTCAGATGCTTCAGTGTCCAGAATAACGTACGTCTTGTTACTCTTCATGATGAGTGGAGGCAGGTTAAATAAACCTATCGTTATGCTTTTTTCTCCTTCAATAGACTGGAAAGAAATTCTGAAGCCCTCAAAAGAATAACTTGGAGTCACTTAGGTGAGATGACTAGTGTAGAAATTCACTCACTCACTCACTCACGTCTTTCTCCAAGGTAAACTCACTTTAAGGTAACATTTCCAACTCAAAAGTGTGTCATCTTGTGTTTATTTGGCTGAGCATACAGACTGGTCCAGTTGAGAATGATTCTGGGGTCTGTGAATACAGTTATATATATAAAGGTAAAGGTTCCCCTCGCGCATATGTGCTAGTCGTTATCGACTCTAGGGGGCGGTGCTCATCTCCGTTTCAAAGTGGTCTCCATGGTCATGTGGCTGGCATGACTAAAAACCAAAGGCGCACGGAACACTGTTACCTTCCCACCAAAGATGGTCCTTATTTTTTTTACTTGCATTTTTACATGCTTTCGAATTGCTAGGTTGGCAGAAGCTGGGACAAATAACAGGAGCTCACCCTGTTACGTGGCACTAGGGATTCAAACCGCTGAACTGCTGACCTTTTGATCAACACCGTGTGTGTGTGTGTGTGTGTGTGTGTGTGTGTGTGTGTGTATACATATGTCTTCTTAAGTTTTCGCGGGTGTGTATATGCAAAAAATTAAAATCTCGGGTGTTTTCCCGCGTCATGTTAAATAAGTTAGTTAAAATGTTTAAAATTCTGGTTAAAATCCTAGCTTAAAATCTTCCAAAAATCCTTACAGAGGATTATTATCCTTATTTAATATGATGCGGGAAAACACCCGAGATTTTAATTTTTTGCTATATATATATATATATATATATATATATATATATATATATAATTTTCTTACTTCTTCGTAGGGTTTTATGTGTGTTTTTTCTTCTAGCCAGGTTTTCCCTACGTAGCCAAGGTTTCTTTCTTTTTTTTTTTTTTTTGTAGCTCCAGCTCAGTAGAATCACATCTACCTCGGTTCTGGGCTTTTTTCCTTTCTGACACCTAGCAAGCTCTAACTTGCTTGACAGCTAATGAGCTAGAAATGGATCTATTTAGGTCTCCCACCTAGCAGTGAGAGCTTGCTAGGTGTCAGAAAGGAAAAAAGCCCAGAACCGAGTAGATGTGATTCTACTGAGCTGGAGCTACAAAAAAAAAAAAAAAACCAAACCTTGGCTACGTAGGGAAAACCTGGCTAGAAGAAACACACACACACACACACAGACACACACACACACACACACACACACACACACACACACACATATATATATATTCTGAGGTTTTCGCGGGTATTTGCATGTAGGTCTTTGGTTATTCGGGTTTTCTCCCACGTAAAATTGGAAGTGTCTTGGCGACGTTTCAACAAAGTCTCATTCGTCATCT